TTATTTTAAATGGTAGCATTTATTATTTAATTAGCTTACAGTGAACTGTAATAATTGCATAATAATATTAATTTTAATCATAATTTTAAACAAGAATGAATTTTAAAATTTACTTAAGCAATTAGATATCTTACTGCAATGATTTCCAAACTTTTTGATGATTAAAGTGCATTTTACATTATGATCCTATATATGCATATAACTGAAACGAAAGTTTTATGAAACAATATTTATCCTTACTACATGGAACAGCTTTGATATTTCTACTCTTTTGGCTTATAAAATTGCCGATAGCAGGCCCAGCTACTGTGGTAAAGTGGTAGGGCAGCCTTGCATGAGGGTAGGCCATATGGGAGGCCTGGTTTTTGTTTCTAGACCAACCTAAACAGGCTGAGTGTGGTAGCACAAGCATGTAATCCTAGGCTCCTGGGAGGCTGGGGCAGGAAAATTGCAACATGGTAAGAAACTGTCAAAAATACCTCTCTGAGGGCTAGCAGGTGGCATGGTGATTAAGGGCATTGGACTCCCACGTGATCGACCGCAGTTCAGTCTCAGACCTGGCAACTTCTTTCTCACTTTCTCCCTCTCTTGCTCTGTCCCTCTCTGGTCAAATTAAAACAAATAATAAATAAATGAAGTTAAATAATTTACTTTTTAAAAAAAAATCTCTGGCTTTCCCTCTGCTCCCTTCTTTCCCTCCCTCTCATTAATAAACAAAAACAAAAAAGCCTCACAGCAATCAGTTCTTTGATTGGTTCTGATCTGCAGTTTGAAGAGCACTGTTTTGTTGGGTCTAGTTCAAGCTTTTAGTTGCTTTACTGTGGGAAAGTCACTTACCAATACTTGGCTCCTGTTTTCTCATTTGTAAAAGTGGCTACATTTCACCTTAGTGCTCTTTAGTTTTGAAGTTTTACAGCTCTAAGTCAATCATGTCATTAGTCACTACTATAGTAAAAGTCTTCTGGATTAAAAAGTGTCTTATTTGGGGGCAACAGGTGGTATGGTGGTTAAGGTGCTGGATCCCACATGGCCAACTGTGTAGTTTGAATCCTGGACCTAGCAGCTTGAAAAACATGTGTACATGTGTGTCCAAATTCCCAAGAAGGAGGCAACAAGATTGCAGCATACCCATCCTTCTTGGAAGGTGATTTCTCACTATCTGTCTCTCTCTCCAGTGAGTACATATTCTCTATGGCTTTAAAAAACAAAAAGCCTTACTTATAAAAATGTTGGAAAATTATCAGCATAGGACTAAGTAAACTTATACTACCTTATAGGAATGTCTCATTTAAAAAATCTAGAATGAAAGTTACCGACTTCAGTAATATGAACTCTTTAATCCATAAAGATGAAGACTGGCAACCCATTGGATCACAGTTGTGTGTATTGCAGGGGGTGGGGAGGTTAGACAGGATCTTGTTGTGTTGTGACACTCTTGCCTCAGCTTCCTGAATAGCTGGGACTGGAAGTGTACACCACCCTGCCCGCCCAGCTCATTTAGACAGGGTCTCACCACATTGTCCATGCTGGCTGCAAGCTCTTGATCCTCCTGCCTCAGCTTCAAGTGGCTAGGCCCATATGTGCATGTCACCGTACCCAACTTCTTATGGTGAGCCTGGAAATGAACCTGGGCCTCCCAGGTGACCCAGGTGACCTAATAGCAGCATCCAGTGTACACTACTACAGCTGGGCCAAAACTTTTAAAATTATGAAGGAAAGCTTGAGATGTTTCAGAATACGTCCTGAACAATTTGAACCTGACGTCTTTGGATATCACTATAATCTCTATACCATTTGGAAATAGAGTATTGAATTTAACACAGTTCAGTCTTTCTTGAATTATGAAAGCCAATATAAATTTATTTACCAGATTCTAAAACTCTAAAACCTGGTAGTGTCCTTTAGAATTTGTAAGACTTGGGACCAGCAGTTAGCGTAATGGCTGTGTTGCTGGACTCACATGTAGTCGACTGCTGTTCAAGTCCCGGACCTGGTGGCTTAAACTCATGCCGGGTGCATGTGCATGTGTGCCCAAGATCCCAAGAGGAGAAGGGATTGTGGCGTGGCCATCCCCCCTGGGGGGTGATTTCTCGCTTTCTATCTCTCTGTCTTTCTGGCAAGCGCACATGCCCTGTAGCAAA